GCATCAGCAATATATTGGACTCCTTGTTGTTCGATTTGATTTCCTACGAGGTAGAGTGCAGTAAGTGCCTGTGTATAATCAGGAAAGAATTGTATGATAACAATGGAGGGAGACTAATTACCTGGTTAACTTTGAGCGCATTAGCAATATATTGGGCTCCTTGTTGTTCGATTTGATTTCCTACGAGGTAGAGTGTGGTAAGTGCCTATGTATAATCAGGAAAGAACTGTATGATAACAATGGAGGGAGACTGATTACCTGGTTAACTTTGAGCGAATCAGCAATATATTGGGCTCCTTGTTGACCGATACCATTTTCTGTGAGGCCGAGTATAGCAAGTGTCTGCGTAAGATGAACAGTTTGTAATAATAGTGAAGAGAGAGGCTAGTTACTCGGTTCATTTTGAGAGCATCAGCAATATGTTGGACTCCTTGTTGTTCGATTTGATTTCCTTTGAGGTAGAGTGTGGTAAGTGCCTGTGTATAATCAGGATAGGACTGTATGATAACAATGGCGGGAGACTGATTACCTGGTTAACTTTGAGCGCATCAGCAATATATTGGGCTCCTTGTTGACCGATACGATTTTCCGTGAGGCCGAGTATAGCAAGTGTCTGCGTAAGATGAGAAAAGAAGTGCATGATCAGGATAAAGAAAGAAAACTTTTTGACTAGCTTTTTTGCTATATAACTATCGCTATCGTCTGTAGAACATGTGTTCATAGTTAAAATACAGGATAAAAGTTTAGCACAGTTTTTTATTTTATTGATTCTTAACGAATGACAGTTTATTGAGAATATCCACATGGTGATTTCGTTAGTCCTCAGAGCGCTCTATAAAAGTAAGGTGCGAAATTTTTCTTGAATTCAGCGGTTTTGGTTTCCATTAAGCGAGAAACTTTTGCCCGGAGAGAAAAAATTTGAGTAAATTTTTAGTATTGAGCGAATATTTTTGTTATTCATCGATAGCTACAAGCTATTTGATACACTATTCGTTGCAGAATTCAGCAAACTACATTTTGGTGAAAAGCACTTACTCTCATGTCGAAGTGTTAGCTATAGAATAATTAGAAATTAATTATTAATAATTAAAATTTACGAAAAGTTTCATTTTAATTTTTCAGCTTCAACTGATTCTATAAGAAAGAATGTTGAAAAATAAACGAGACTGGAATTATTGTTCTGAAATAGAATATCTTAATGAGATATTTTAGAGTGCACTGAGTTCTGCATGGACACAGTTTTTCTTATTTCTGGAAAATTCAATTATGATAGAAACCTTTCAATGTGGAAATTAGCGTATTTTGAAGGCCAGAATTCATACTTTCAAATGAGATCTTGCAGCTCTGTGTGCGATACACTGTTGGCATGTCATAACGTTTTGAAATTATGGCATGGAAAATAAAAGCAACATCGCACGGTATTTTGACTTAAATTACTTCTTGAGAGTAAAAACGCTTTAACATGTGAGCAGTACATTGTACAGAGAGCAGAGAAGTTTCATTCAAAAGAGTAAACTTGTGTCTTCAAAATGTGCTAGTTTTCTAAATTTAAAGTTTCATCTCATTGATGAACTTCACAAATATAAGGAACACTATGTCTATTCAAAACTTAGTGTACTCTAAACAATTCCAATTAGATGAACTATTTCGAAAAAATAACTACACGGTTTCATCTAGTTTCTAATGCTCTTTCTGATGGAATAAGTTGAAATCGAAAATGAAACTGAAATTTTTTCCTACAAATTTTAACTGTCAATAATTAATATGTAAATATTATATCATTAAATCTGGCACATGTGAATGTTTTTTTACCAAACCATAGCCCATGAAATTTAGCACTGAATAGTATATAAAACAGCTTCCAATAATCCTCGATCAACAAAAATATTCATGAACTACTGGAATGTGCCAAGCTTTACCCACCTACTTTATGGATAGAAACATGTGTATAAGTCGACACTCAGCAATGAAACGATATGAGAAGAGACTAAATAGTTGAGACATGTTGAGGTTGTAATTGCAAGAAAGTGTATTCAATCAACGATGAAACTGTGCGGAGCGGATGGAACTCTACAACATTCGTAAAAATGGTGTTTCATGGGAATACGCCGTAGCTTCAAATACTA